TAACCATCTAGTTCCATAGCCCCATAGCCTGATAGCTGTTTAGCCGTGACATATTTACAGTCATATAGCCCAATGGCCCTCTAGCATTATAGCCTCATAGCTCTACAGCCATGTCGCCCTAAAGCCTCATAGCCCTGCAGCCCACTAGCCCCATAGCCCTATAGCCCTATAGCCCCATAGCCCTATAGCCCTAAAATATGTTTGTTTGTTTTTTTCTCCGGTATTATAATGGGGAGGTCCAGTCCTTAGAATAAGTGACGCAGCGGTTTGGGGGAGTGGCGCGGCGTGCCTCCTCCAAACAGGGCGGGGGTGCGAGGAGGTCCACGACGGCGACGACGACGACGACGACGGACGACGGACGACGGCAACGACGACGACGACGACGACGACTACGACGACGACGATACGGACGGCGACGACGACGAGCACGACAACGCCGACGACGACGGCGACGGCGGCGGCGGCGACGCCGCCGCCGCCGCCGTCAGTCGTCGTCGGCGTCGTCGTCAGTGCCGAAGTTGTCGCCGTCATCCGCGCCGCCGCCGACGCCGCCTGCGCCGCCGCCGCCGTCGCAGTCGTAGTCGCCGTCGCTGTCGTCGTCGACGTCGTCGTCTCGTCGTCCCCTGCCGTCGTCGTCTTCATCGTCGTCGTGTCGTCCTCGTCGTCGTCGTCGTAGAATTCGTCGTCGACGGAGTCGTCGTCGTACTCGTCGTGCTCGACGTCGAACCGTCGCCGCCGTCGTCCGCCGTCGAGTCGCGGTCGTCGTCGCCCGTCGCCGTCGTCGTCGTCGTCGTCGTCGTAGCCGTATTCGTAGTCGTCGTCGTAGACGTCGTCGTCGTAGTCGCCGTCGTCGTCGCCGCAGTCGCCGTCGAGTCATCGTCGTCGTCGCCGTCGCCGTCGCCGCCGCCGCCGTCGCCGCCGTCGTCGTCGCCGTCGCCGCCTCCACGACGACGGCCCGCCGCCGCCGCCCCCCCCGCGGCTCGGCGGCTTTCGCCCGCACCGCGGGCGCTCGCGCCGCCCGCGCGGACGCCCCCACGCCGCCCCCGGCGGGCCGCCTGGCGGGGCGGGGGCGGAGCGGAGCGCGCAGCGGCAGGGGGAAGTCCAGGAGTCCAGGGAGGATCGAGGGGTCAGGGACGAAGGGGTGATGGGGAGGGGTCAATCGACGGGGTCAGGGATCAAGGGGTCAGGGAGAAGCCAGGGAGGGATCGAGGGGTCAGGGAGTTGCGTTGGATGGCGCGGTCGAGGGGTCAGGGAGGTGCCAGGGAGGGGAGGGGCGAGGGGTGGATGAACATGGACGGGGAGAGGGAGAATGGCAAAGGGATGGTCAGGGAGCCGAAGAGGAGAGCAGGGGAAGGAAGGGAGGGCGGCGGCGGTGGAGAGCGGGAGGGGGGAGACGACGGGGGAGCGACAACGACGACGACGATCGTGACGATCGCCGCCATCTTACACTCCCTCCAATCCAACTCAATCCGATCATGTCTTTAAAAGAAGCGCAAAAAAGTACAGGGTGCGTGCTCACCTCCTCCCCTCCTCTTCCTCCTCCTCCTCCTCCTCCTCCTCCTCCTCCTCCTCCCCGCACCTCCACTCCCGCCGCCCTTCTCCTTCCGCCCGCGCTTCCCCACCCCTCTCTCCCTCTCGTCGGGAGGCGGGCGCCCCTCGCCTCTTACTACACAGCTCGCTCAGCTCGAGCGCAGTGCCGCAGGGCCCGCGCCCCCCTGACCTGACCCGCGGGGGGGGGCGCGGCACCAGCGAGTGCGCGGGCACTCGGCGCGGCTCGGCACGCACGATTCGCACGATGGATTGAGGTGGAGTGGAGTGTCGTGTCGTCGTCGTCGGCGTAGTCGTCGTCGGTCGTCGTCGGTCGTCGGTCGGTCGGTCGGTCGGTCGGTCGGTCGTCGTCGTCGTCGTCGTCGTCGTCGTCGTCGTCGTCGTCGTCGTCGTCGTTTTCGTTTTCGTCGTCGTCGTCGCCGCCACCGCCGTCGTTGTCGTAGTCGCAGTCCGTCGTCGTCACTCGTCGAAGTTCGTCGTCGTCGTCGTCGAGGGCGAGGCGGGGCGGGCCAGCGTGGGCAGGCGCCGCGCCATGCCACCGGCACGGCGACGGCCTAGAAGGCGAGGCGCCCCGCCCCGCACGGGGGGGGCCCTCGCGGCCCTCGCTGCGTCGCCCTCCTCCTCCTCCTAAGCGGAAGGAGGAGGGGGATGAGGGGCGGGACGGAGGAGGAGGAGGAGGAGGAGGAGGGGAAGAAGGGCAGGAAGAGATAAGAAAAAGAAGAAAGGGGAGGAGGAGTTCTCTCCCCTCGCCCTTCATCCTTCGTCTCCCCCATCCCTCCCTCCCCCTTCCTCCTCCTCCTCCTCCTCGGACTCCTCCTCCTCCCCCTCCTGCCCGTGGGCGGTGCGCCGCGGTTGACGGGCGCCAGCTAGCTGCAAAGTTCGAGCGGCCGTCCAGCGCGCTTGCGGCTGGAGGCGCAGTGCGCGGGTCCTCCCCCCCCCCCCTTGCCGAAGGAGCTGCTCTGAAGCTGAGCCGTTGGTGGATGCCCTGCGTGGTTGCTTTGCGGGTGTGTCGGTGGTCCCCCCCTCTCCTGCGCGCTGGGTCAACAGGTCCAAAAGGTCCTCCTCCTCCTCCTCCTCCTCCTCCTCCTTTTCCTCCCTTCCCATCCCCTGGCCCTCTCCTCGTCGTCCCTCATGCTCTCCTCGCTCAGAGGCTCACTGGCCGATAAAGGCGTTGCTCTTCGCCTGGGCGGCGGTGCCGTCCATGCCCTTGCCCGCGCCCTTGCCGCCGACGTTGCCTCGGGCAGCGACGGCGACGACGCCGGCGACGACGACGACGACGGCGACGTCTTCGGAGTCGTCGTCGACCTTGTCACAAGGTCGACGACGACTCCGACGACGATGGCGGTAACGACGAACGACGACGACGACGACGACGACGACGACGACGACGACGACGACGACGACGACGACGACGACGAGGTCGACGGCGATTGCGACGACGACACGACGACGACAGCGCCGACGACGACGAGACGACGAGACGACCACGACGACGACTGCGACGACGACGAACGACGAATGACGACGACCACGATGACGACGACGACGACGACGACGAACCACGACGACGACGACGACGACGACGAGAGTGTCAGAGAGCGTTGCCCCATCCAGCTCGCCGGTGCCCCCGCCGCCGCCGCACAGCTGCTCCACCGACTTCTTGAGCCTGGCCTTGACGCTCTCGGGGCCCTCCCCCTCCTCGCCGCCGCCCCCCTCGACGCCCTCCTCGGTTTCCCCGCGGCGGTAATCCTCGGAGGAGGATGAGGAGGGATGATGAGGATGGTGAGGAAGAGGGGGAGGAGAAAGAGAGGGAGGAGGAGGAGGAGGAGGAGGAGGAGGAGGAGGAGGAGGAGGAGGAGGAGGAGGAGGAGGAGGAGGAGGAGGAGAGAGAGGAGGAGGAGGACAAGGAGAACGAGGGGGAGGACGAAGAGGAGGAGGTGCCCGAAAGATCGGGAGCCGCCCATCGGGAGCCCAAACCGAACCCATAGGGCCGTAGGCACGGGAGGGGGCCGAATGGAGGTGCCATTAAGCACCGAGAGGCCCAGCGGGGCCTATACCGGGGGATCGAAAGAACGCAGCCCCCCCCCCGGGCATATCGACGAGGGCGAGGGCGAGGGCGAGGGCGAGGATGTGGTCGGAGGAGGAGGGGGGAGGTTTCGATAGATCCGACCTTGAAGGTATCCGTCGGGCGCGAGATCTCCCACTCCTCCTCGCCCTCCACGGGGAAATCCCACGCCTCGGCCACCCTGAGGCAACGGAGCTTCAGCTTGATCGCGCTGACGCGAGGGTCGTCGGCCTCCCCCTCGGGAAAGGCGGGGGGGGGAGGATGAGGATAGGGAGGAGGGCAGGAGGGGTAGGGGGAGGAGGATGGGGGCGGCGGATATGGACCCGGATATGGAGAGGAGGGAGGAGGACAGCGGGGAGGACAAGGCAGAGGAGGGGGAGGAGGTGAGGAGGAGGAGGAAGAAGAGGAGGAGGAGGAGGAGGAGGAGGAGGAGGAGGAGGGGGAGGAGGAGGAGGAGGAGGAAGGGGAGGAGGAGGAGGAAGAGAAAGGGGAGAGCGGGCAGCAGCGCAACGGCAGCAGGAGGAGGGCAGGAGGCAGGGGAGGAGGAAGAGGAAGGATTAGGAAGACATGGAGGACAAGGAAGATGAGGACGAGGGCGAGGAGGGCCTGCGGCGACGGTGCCAGCGGGACGAGCGCCGCCTCCGCCGGCGGCGGCCCCGGCGGCGGCGCCTGCAGCGCGACGTCGCTGCCCTTAGCGCTACGGGCGGCGGGCCTCTTCATCACTGCAGCCCCCTCGGCCGCCTCCTCCTCGTCCACCTCGCCCTCGGCGTCTGCAGCGCCCTCCGCCTCCGGCGCCGCCGCCTCCTCGCGGTCGCCCACGGGGCCCGCGTCCGCCGTTGGCCCAGGCCTTGGCGCTGCCTGGCCGCCCACTTCGCCCGGGAATGCCAGCTTGAGGCCCAGCGAGTGGTTGCGGCGCCAGGCGGCTTTGTCGAAGGCCCAGCGGGACCCCAAGGGGCCATTCGGATTGAAGTACACCTCAATCTCCTCTTCCTGGACCGCCATGGTGTAGTCCTTCTTGTTCGGCAGCGCCAAGTAGCCAGGGACCACGGTGTCGGAGCCCAGCGTGTCCATCTGATGACCTATTGGAAGGGCGATAACTGCGCCACCAGCAAATGACCATATCCACTGCTGCTGGGTCGTGTTCCGAGGACTCGGGGAGCGGCGGATATGGATATCTGCCCGCCAGCGCGAGCGGGCAGATACCACCGCTCCCCGAGATCCCAGGGCACGACTCCGAAGCGGTGGATGTGGACATCTTCTGGCGGTGGAATAACTACAAAACAGCCGCAGCCGCGCCACGAGGCACCAGCCGCGAAGGGAGCCATCGGGGTCCGTCTAAGAATATTTTCAGAATATGTAGGGTGTTGTTTTTCGATGATAACTTTCGTCAGGTTCGACCTGATACCCAGAACTCGGTGTCCATGAACGTCGTCAGTAGGTACGACACCTTGTCAGCAGCGGCGCCGGAGACAACGTTGCCACCTAGGATGAGCGTCAATCCTTGGGCCTCCCGAGTGCACAGACGCAACCTCTTCCCGTTCGTATCGACAAGCAGGTCGAGCCCGCCCATCTCGGCATCGCGGGCCTCGAACGAAGCCGCGTTCGCGGTGTCGACGACGTGCTGGAAGAAGTTCCTCGCCTCCCGGAGCGCAGTCAAGCGCGTGATCCCCGTCTTGCTGCTGCTCTCTGTCGCAGGGAACGCCGCATCGGCCATGCTACGAATGGTGGTGCGAGGGGGCGCGTGGACTTGTCCGCCGTCGGTGATGCTGTCGACGACGCCGCCCTGGGGGGTCGCATATGCCTCCTCCTTCTCCTTCTCCTTCTCCCCCCTATCCCTCTCGACTTCCCCCGCCCCGAGAAAGGGGGGGGGGCGGCGGGGGAAATCCAGAGGAGGAGGGCGGGCGATTGAGAGGGAGGGGAAGAGAAAAAAGCACATCGCCGGCGGCGGGCCTTGGTTTGCGAGTCGACCTCCGCCTCCGGCTCCTCCTTCACGGCTATCAGCTTGCCGTCGGCGTCCGAGATCTTCTCCGCAGTGGCGTAGTCGCGGGCGATCTTGACGTAGGCGGCAAAGATGGCATCGACATCGACATCGACAGAATCTTCGCCGGTGCTCCGCGGCGCGAGAAGCCGAGACCAAAGCTGGATGAACTGCGCCCTCGAAGAGAAAGTGTCCACCAAGGCCACCTCGTCGAACAGGAGCTGACCTTTCTCCTTGAGGCACCTGCCAAATTCCGCGAACAGGTCCATGTTGGCGTACTCGAGGAGCTCCACCACAGCACCGGTCCTGAAGTCCATCATGTTCGTCACGACCTCCGACTGGCCGCCGAAATACTCATTGATCGCCTGGATGTCATCCGACCCGCGCTTGCACTCGTGGTCCTGCATGGCCGTGCAGATCGCCTTGAAAGCTGGGGCCCACTTGAACTTGATGGCGCGGCTGTCTATAACGTCCGCAAGGGCGGGCACAACGGTTTTGATCTGGTCAGAGCGGCCCTGGGAGTCGAACTTGTCACGATCGCCGACGGCCTCGCTGAAAGCAGTCTTCATCATGCCGAAAATGGGGCGCTCGGACAGAGGCGTCTCCGAGAGGAAGTCAATCGCTTTGCAGAAGGCACGCATGGCCCCGGCACATCTTCTCATGAGGTCCTCCGCCAGCTTCTCCGAAGCCTCCTTCGTGCAATCTTCCAGCAACTTATCTGCGAGCGCCGCGGCGGTCAGCGCCCCACCGCCTTCGCCGGTAGGCAGCAGTTGCATGGGCCGCTCGATCAGGGCAAGCACATCGGAGCGCAAGATGGAATACTTTTCGATGGCCTTCCCACGGATAGAAGGACCAGGCCTATGCTTCTTCCACAGGAGCCTGTACATCAAGTTGTATGCCACGCGGCGCAGCGACTTCTTAATGTTCTCGCCGACCCCGTCCTTGTCGAAGTGATCAAGCATACCTCTGACGTGGAAGACGTAATCCTCGCAGGCCGAGACGCCGCGCAGCTTCCTCTTGCTGCCTCACGGGGAAAATCGCCCGCTGGGTCGAGTTTGGACAGGGGCCAGCCCCTACTAGACTCTACTACTAGACTGGATACGGCGAACGCAGCCGCTATCGTCATCGCTGCCGCCAGCTTCCGCTCACCCTCTGCCAGCTTCCGCCAATGCACCTCAAAACCAAATCTCCTGACCTAGCTCCTGGTCCCAAACCCCCAATCCCAGCGGGCCTGATTTCACCTCGACAGTCTCCGCCCAGCTGTGCAACTCGACCGGCTTGCTTGACAACTCAAGTTTCTGCGCGGCCTTCACTGCCGACATGGCTGCCTTCCTGGCTTCTGCTTTCTGCTTTTTGGTTGCCTGAGGTCGATCGGCAAGGGCCTGCTTCTGTCTGGCGTCCTCCTTGAGCTCATCCACTTGCTCCTGGAGCTCAGTGGACTTATCGGAAGCAGTTTCGGCGAGCTTCTTCATCTTCTTGTGCGTTGCTGATTCCGTCAAATCGTACTTGAGGTTGTCCATCAGCATCTCGAACTCCTTGCCAGACTGGTCGAATGCCCAATGGGCCACGAGCGCGCCAGCAGACGTCTCCACGAAAGTGTCGCTCGTCAACGGGGTGAAGAATGGCAGCGCCGCCATCACTAGCTCGGCGCACGTCTCCCTGCCAAGGGGCGCGAGGAAGAAGTTATCGATCAACCGAGTGAAGTAGCACAAATTGATGATGATGCTGCGATGCTTCATGGCCGAATCCTCGAACTTCACCTTCCCGCCCCAGAAAGAGCAGCACTCCTTCCAGACGCCGAGGCCGTTGAGGGTGTTGTATATCATCTTGCAGTCTTTGAAGTCCTGCTCGGGATGCCATGCCCTAGCGAAGATCGCCTGCTTCTTGGTCCATTCCCACCACTTCGTGGGATAGGCGGGGCCGTCGCTCTTTGCGCCCTCTGGGCCGTCCTTGACGAGCCTCCACGACGAGGCGTTGCCCGGCACGGCGGTGAGCTGAGAGGAGAGAGAGAGAGAGAGAGAGAGAGAGAGAGAGAGAGAGAGAGAGAGAGAGAGAGAGAGAGAGAGAGAGAGAGAGAGAGAGAGAGAGAGAGAGAGAGAGAGAGAGAGAGAGAGAGAGAGAGAGAGAGAGAGAGAGAGAGAGAGAGGGAGAGAGAGAGAGAGAGAGAGAGAGAGAGAGAGAGAGAGAGAGAGAGAGAGAGAGAGAGAGAGAGAGAGAGAGAGAGAGAGAGAGAGGAGAGAAGAGAGAGGAGAGAGAGAGAGAGAGAGAGAGAGAGAGAGAGAGAGAGAGAGAGAGAGAGAGAGAGAGAGAAAGAGAGAGAGAGAGAGAGAGAGAGAGAGAGAGAGAGAGAGAGAGAGAGAGAGAGAGAGAGAGGGGAGGGAGAGGGGAGAGGGGCGGCAGGAGAAGGAGGAGCGGAGGAGGAGGATAACAATTCGCAGCGAAAGAGGGGGAGAGACAGGGGGGAGGGGAGCGGAGGGGGAGGAAGACGAGGACGAAGCCGAGGAGGAGGTGGAAGGCAGGAGACGGAGGGCGGAGGCAGGACGGAGAGGATGAGGCGAGGCAAGGGATGATAAGGAGATCGCATCGATCGCATCGGAGCATCGGCCTTCTCGATAAACGTGACGCCCTCCCCGTGGTGATGGGCGTTGTGTTCCTTCATCCCGAAATCGACGAGCGATGCCGGCGTCTCCTCGTGGAACTCGATGATGCACTGCAGCCCCTCCTGGCGCGGAGGGTCGCAGAAAGCAGCGCCCTCACTCATGGCCCCCGCGCCATGTTTTTAAATTCCAAGAAGGGCCCACTAGGGCCACCACTGGGGCGACGGGGCCCTCTCGGGGCGACTCACTAAGCCCGCTGGAGGGCCTGGGCCCCAGGGCGGGGCCCCACAGGGCCCAGATGGTGGCTCCACCGCTTTTTGTTTTGTGGCCAACCGATCCTTCTTGAGCTCCTGGCAGGCCCTTGAATCACCGTATTTGATGAAAGCTTCGTAGGCGGCAAGGATCCTTGGAACCGCCGCCGCGGGTTCCGGGGGGGGAGAGGCTAGGATCGAGCAAGGCCCGAGTCGAAGCGATCGAGATCTGACCTCGACCCGCCGAGAAGCTTTACGCCGACGCAGAAGCAGAAGCAGCGAACGCTAAGTTTGCTGCCGATGCCCCCACGTAAATGCACGTAATGGGTAGCACCTCTCGCCAGCAGCATTGATGGACCATTGCAGCCACGGCTCCCCCGCAACTCCGTAAGAGAGGCCGCCGGTGCTGATGCCCGCCGCGTACTCGTGCACCTTCGACCTCGGGGCTGCCCACGAGACCGAGGCCCGCCAGCGGCCCGCGGCTGGACAGAGGGGGGTGGGCAAGAAGGCAAGCAGTGGGAGATGGGGAGGCACTCAGTACCCACGCAGACCACATCGTCTCGCGGTTCTTCTCATGGCGGACGAATGTCCTCTTCGTGGAACCATCTGCGCCCTGGAAGAACCAGGGGTGGGTGCTGGGCGCGTTCTGGTTGACCTGGGGGTGGGGCCGACTTCTTCGCTGGGCGCTATGTCCCTCCCCCCGTAGAGGGCCTCTTAGGCCCTGGGGCCCCTGGGCCCGACAGCCCGTTGAGTTTGCTGCGGGGGGCCGTTGCGCATGCCGGGGGACCACGTAGTCTTTCCTCATGAGAGCCAGATACCTCGCGTTGGTCTGTTTGCCGTACCTCGGATGCAAGAGGTCGGCAGACTCACTCATGGGGGAAGGTGAGGGTGCGAATGCACTGGGGAAGAACATGGGGGGAAGAGCTGGATGGTCGGGGTGAGGGTTTGTCGGGTGCCATGGTCACGCTAACTCCACAGTCAGAGACGGGTTCCACTTCTTTGCCTCAGCTTCTGCCTCGAGCTGCCCTGCCCTGGCCTTCAAGGCCTCCACCTGCTCTTGATCTGCGGGAAGTCCAACTGGTTTCGATGATGGTGAAAGTGAAGGCGACTGCGGCTCGGCCATCGTCGGGGGCACGTTCGGCCCCTCGAGGCGTCTGCTTTTGGAACCCGCGAATGGTTTTGAAGGATTTCTCGGAGAGCTCGGAGTCTTGGACCTCAGGCGGCGCTCAGGGCCAGGTCGGGTCTTATGTTCTGTCCCTGCAGGCTTCCTGCCGCGGATGCCGCCGCCGCCGCCGCGGCCTTGGCCTCCGAATTTGGCGAACATCGCGCCGGGCTTGAGGGCTTGACCGAGTCAGTCAGAGTCGGGTAAGCTCAGGGACTAAACAGTCGCAGAGCCTGAGCTGGGATGCTGCGCGCGGCGGCAGGATTGGTTCTATAGCCCCGAAGACGCGGCCCGACTCGCGATGCGAAGCGAAGCCTAAGCCGCTGAAGTTGGAGAAGGGGGGGTCGGAGTTGGCCGGGGGCGGGAGCCGCGGTTGTGGAGGGAGAGTCTGAGGGAGAGAGAAACGGGAAGGACGGCGGGAGAAGGATCAGGAAGAAGGAGGAGGAGCGAGGAGCAGGAAGAGCAGGAGGGAAAGGAGGCAGGAGGAGGAGGAGGAGGGACGGATAGAAGAGAGGGGCAACCTCCCCGCCCTGCCAGGTCACCCCGCAAGCGCGACAAGGCGAGGCCCCCCGCCTCCGCGCCTCTGTCCCTGGAAGGGGGTCGGGCTGAGTCAGCGGCGGCAGCGCAGGCAGGGCCCCCACCCTTTCCCTCCCTCGCCTCTCGCTCCGCCCGATGGTCTGGGGGTGGCCCAGCTGGCGCTATTGTTTTCAAGGGCCGCTCGCACGGGCTCCGGCATCGCGCTGGCCCCCGCCTAGGGGCCCTACTGGGCCCTGCCCTCCCCGCTGCTTCCCGCGGCTTACCCGCAGTCAACTGTCTGGCATGGGGGGGCTCGGGCTCGGGACTAACTGTCAAACTGGCGGTGCAGCTCGAGAGGCGGCGGAACCGACATGGACCCCGAGGGGACAGCCTGCCTCAATGCTACTACCTCAAACGCTTCCCAACTTTACTCACCAGAGGGGCCCTGCGAGTAGAGTAGATGCATGCCCAGCCATACCCAATGCTGAGCACGCGCTGCAGACCACGACGTCGACCCCGTGGCACCTACACAAAACGGCCGTAGGCACACACTTGTGACGGGGCGCTCGCGTCAGAGGAGGCGCCAGAGCCTGAGCCGGAGGCGCCAGCGTCCTCAGGGTCCTCCGAGTCGTCGTGGGCTCGGGGCTGGGCCGGGCTGGGCCCTCCGCGCAGCGGCAGGGTCTTATCCAAGTCAATCCGAGCTGGAGTCGTAGTCGTCGAAGTCGTGGCCGTGGTCGTTGTCCGAGTCGTCGATCGTGATCGTCTGGGCGAGGGGGGCGTCGGGGGTCGCCAGCCACCTGGGGGGTGCTACGGGCAGGTCCGAATGCGTCGGGAAAGTTTCCCGACGCATTCGGGCAGGTCCGAATGCATGGGCGCATTGGGTTTCCCGACGGGAAACCCCATGCACCCGTGCGCGGCCAAGGCCGAGCATATCCCGAAAAGAAATGGATCCTATCCTCCAGCCTCCCTGCCTCCTTCACCGCCCCCCCCCCACTCCCGCATCCCTCCTCGCAGGTCCGCCTCGCGAGGTGATTTGAAAACAAACCCATCCCTCCGCCCTCCCCCACCCCACCCCACCCCACGCACGCCCACATCCTCCCCCGCCCATCCCCCCATCCCTGCCCCCCATCGTTTTGTGCCGCTCCCTCCCACTTGTAGAGCAAGAGAGCCCCAATGACGGGCAAGCTCATCGTGTTCCCCGCCTGGTGGTACACCGCGGCCCTGTTCCTTGCACGTGGACGCGAGAAACTGCTGTCGCGGTGGCCCCACTGCCAGTCCATCGTGGGAAAGCCCTGGCTCGCCAGAAGTTCCAGGGCCGCGAGCCAACGGCCAACTGGGCGGCCCTGGCTGTCCTGGATGTCGGCCCAGATGAGCCCGCAGTTCCTGATGATGCACTGGAGGTTCGCTTCGCCGCTGCGCATGATGCAGCCTCCGATGAGGGGGCCTCCTCCTCCTCCCCCTATTCCTCCTCCTCCTCTTCCTCCTCCTCCTCCTCCCCATCCTCTCCGACTCCGCCTCCTCCTCCTCCTCCTCCTCCTCCTCCCTCCCCCATGCTCCCCCTCTCCTCCTCCGCCTCCTCCCCCCTCCTCCTCCTCCTCCTCCTCCTCCTCCTCCTCCTCCTCCTCCCCCTCCCCCTCCTCCTTGACCCATGGGCCCCTGGGCCCCTGGGCCCCAAGACGAGACCGCCTGAGGCCGCAGAGGCCCTCTGGGTTCCGATCGGACTGCCGCTTCTATCAGGGCAACATTTGGACATCTCCCAGAGGGGCCCTCGGACTCCAAAATCAACACCCTGATCGGATCATTCTTCCCGCGCGACTCTTCGAGGCCAAAAATGTCGGTGATCCAGCCTCCATTCGGGTTCTGGCTCAGGGACCACGCGCGCCCAGGGAAGTTGGCACGGTAGGTCCTGAGCACCACGATCTCCCAGTCCGTCAAAATTCTCTCGAAAATGAAAGGCTCGCCCATGTCGCAGTTCTCGTCCGCCCGCGCGGCGACGGCCGCCTGCAACTCATCCCCCCTCTTCCTCTGGATGGCGGGCACGCGATCCGCCTTGTCCTTTGCTACGAACGCCTTCTCGATTGCCCAATCCAACTCCCCCTGCAGGTCATCGTCGGTCGCGGTGACGTACTTCCGCCAGGAGATGGCGCGCTGTCTCTCCTCGTGGTCGTCGTCTTCGTCGTCCTCGTCCGGCGTCGTCGTCGTCGGTCGCCGTCGTCGTGACGACGACGGCGACCGACGACGACGAACGACGGCCGCGACGACGACGACGACGACGACTCGTCGTCGTCGTCGCGGCCGTCGTTCGTCGTCGTGCCGCCAGCTCGCACGGCGGGGGGGGGAGGGGAAGTGATTGGTGGTGGTGAAAGTCCAGCAAGCGCGTGAACATGTTCACTGGGAATAAGAACGCCCCGGCCTTGTACTTG